GGTCCACATGGGAGAACAGCCCTGGAGGACACAGAGGGCAGTCCAGGCACGACACGCACGGTCAGCCAGTCGGGGGCAGGCCCTTAGGCCCCCACGGGAACTCCTATTCAGAGAGGGCTCTAACTCCAGTGCAAGTAATTCAGCTCCGTGCTTGGCCGCAGACGGACTGCTTGAGGCATCCCGTTCCCAGCCACTTTGCCTGTCTACGGCCCGTGTAGACTGGATTCTGGTTTTGAAGCTTACAGCAGCTTGAGAGGGTAACATTGGCAGAGAGGAACCTCCCAGGACCAACCAGCTCCAACAAGCAAGATTGTGGGACAGGTTTGGTGCCGTGGTTAAGATGCCTCTTGGGTCGCCTACGTCCCGTATCTGAGTGCCTGGGTTTGAGTCCCAGCTCCGTTCCCTTCTCCAGCTTCTCGCTAATGCAGACCTGGGAGGCAGCAGGTGATGGCTCAGGTACGTGGGTACCTGTGACCCACGTGGGAGACCCGGATTATACTCCATCTTCAGCTTCAGCACAGTGGGGAGCGAATCAGCAGATGGGAGCCCTCTGTCTGTCTGTATCTCTCAAATTAGCAAATGAATAAAGAAAACAATTTATTTTTATTTTTTTGACAGGCAGAGTTAGACAGTGAGAGAGAGAGATGGAAAGAAAGGTCTTCCTTTTCCGTTGGTTCACCCCCCAAATGGCTGCTATGGCCAGTGCACTATGCTGATCCGAAGCCAGGAGCCAGGTGCTTCCTCCTGGTCTCCCATGGGGTGCAGGGCCCAAGCACTTGGGCCATCCTCCACTGCACTTCCGGGCCACAGCAGAGAGCTGGACTGGAAGAGGAGCAACCGGGACAGAATCCGGCGCCTGACTGGGACTAGAACCCGGGGTGCCGGCGTCCCAGGCGGAGGATTAGCCAAGTGAGCCGTGGCGCCAGCCCAAAGAAAACAATTTAAATAATAAAATAAATGGTCACCAGCACCATCTGTAGGTGACTCAGACGACCCCCAGCATCGGCCCCACCGAGGGCCATCTCAGATCCAGTCTGGTCCTGGAGTCAGAGTCCTGTTCACTGAGTGCAGCGACTTCACCTGACTTGAGCCCAGCACAGCTCAGCAGAGCGTCAGGGCTCGACACTGAGCCAGGCTCTGACCCCTGCCGGCCCCACAGGTGTTCCTGCAGCTGGGACTCCCGTAATCACAGCCCGGGACAGACACCATGCACCCTTCATCCTTTCTTTTCCAAATAATGCTTTAGCCATATTTCAAAAGTCGGGGTTGCTCTACCAAGCCTCACTGCTGCCACCCCTGTTCATGGGTCCCCAGGACCACCCCTGGGTGGGTGACTGGGTGCGGGGCCTCACAGCAGCCAGCACACAGACACATCCATGACTACGACTCTACGACTCGGTACAGCCCAAGGACACAAAGCAAGGTCAGCAAAGGGAAAAGGCGCGTGGGGTGAGGTCTGGAGGAAACAAGACGCAAGTCCTCTCCAGCAGAGTCACACGGGACACGGCGAGCGCCTCCTGCGATGAGCCAGTGTCTACCACGCGTGCCTGCCTGAGCCCAGGGACAGGGTTTCCCCTGGGGATGGCAGGTCATGCAGGCACACCCTGCAGGGCTCCCAGAAGGCAAGCATGAGTCTCATCATCTGTACAAACTACAGAGGCACAGGGGCCGTTGCTGCCACTCCTGGGAGTGCCAGGAACCTTCCTCAAATCCAGGTTTCTGGACCCCAACCCAGGCACACCCCACCAGCAGGTCCTCCTGGGAACAGCACCCTCAGGCCTGCCACGCGGCTCCTTTCTGCACACCAGGGCCGGTCCTGTGAGCTCATGTGAACCGCAGGCTCCTTGAGCAAGGCCTCTGGAACGCACCTCCCACATGGGCTGGGCACAGCCACACCCCACCTGCTGCTAATCTGCCATCCGGCTGAGCCCAGCCCAAGCAGCCAGGCAGCGTCTGGGAAGAGAGAGGAGGGCTGCAGAGCCCAGCCCCGAGGCCTCCCTCCCCAGTCTCTGCCTGGGGAGGTGTGGGGCACATGGGGGCGTATCTAGAATGTGACCGAGACACACAGTGTTTTTGGAAGCAAAGTCCAGAGGGGAGGAGGGGCAGAGTCGTCACTTTGCTCACCTGCCAGCCCAGCCTCCGTGGCTCTGATGCTCCCGATGACGTCTCCCTCATTCAGCAAACAGTGACCTTGTGCTCCGGACCCAGCATAGCCCAGCCCCGAGCAGGGGTTTGTGTTGGCCACAGCGAGAAGGGGAAGGGTGGGGGTGCTGCACCCAGCCTTTCTTCCCACCCCTCCCCGAGGCACCTACTGTGCCTATGGGCTCCACTCCGGCCGATCTCCGAGCCAGGGGCAGGGCAGGACACTGGGGAGAGGGTGGAGAGTTGACCAGGACAGGCAGTGGGGACCACCTCCCCTGCCCCTAAAATTGCCTGGAAAATGGAGAGAAGGAAGGAGACAGTGGCTGGGCTGGGCAGGTGAGGGGAGGGGGTGGAATGAACTCCTAGTTCAGAATCAAAGAGGGGGCTGGCTCTGTGGCATAGCACGTAAAGCTGGCACCTGCAGTGCTGGCATCCCATGTGCGCGCCAGTTCGAGTCCCGGCTGCTCCACTTCTGCTCCAGCTCTCTGCTATGGCCTGGGAAAGCAGCAGAAGACGGCCCAAGTCCTTGGGCCCCTGCACCCTATGTGGGAGACCCAGAAGAAGCTCCTGGCTCCTGATCTCGGCTCAGCTCCAGCCGTTGTTGCCATCCTGGCAGTGACCCAGCAGATGGAAGGCCTCTCTGTGACTCTGCCTTTTGAATAAAATAAATCTTGAAAAAAAAAAAAAAAAGAATCAAAGAGGCTGGAGTCTGGGTCCCTGTTCTCATCAGCTCTGTGACCTCAGGGTTATGTGTTCACCTCTTCAGGCCTCAGTTTCCCCATCTGCCTAGTGGTGAAATCACCGCTTCCCATCCGCACAGAGGCTGATACAGCTGTCCGGAGTTAGGACAGCCTGCTTCCCCTTCTGTTAGAACAAAGACGTAAGTCTCAGCCATTTTAGCCCCTTGCCTGAAAGCTGATAAAATTCCCTTTACTGGGGCCGGCGATGTAGCGTGGTGGGCAAAGCTGCCACTTGCAGTGCTGGCATCCCGTGTGGGTGCCAGTTCGAGTTCTGGCTGCTCCACTTCAGATCCAGCTCTCTGCTAAGGCCTGGGAAAGTAGTAGAAGATGACCCAAGTGCTTGGGCCCCTGAACCCCCTGGGAGATCTGGAGGAAGCTCCTGGCTCCTGGTTTCGGATTGGCCCAGCTCTGGCCATTGCAGCCAGTTGGGGAGTGAACCAGTGGATGGAGGATCTCTCTCTCTCTCTCACTGCCTCTCCTTCTCTCTGTTTGTAACTCTGATTTTCAAATAAAAAAATAAGTAATTTTTTATAAAAAATTCCCTTTTCCCCTTCCCCTCTGCCTTCTCTCAAGAGACCAGCTGAGCCCTGTGCCCTGTAGCGCTCCCCACCCCACCCTCTGCATTCTTTTCCAAGCCCACGGAACAACCTGTACTGGAAGTATTCAGCTCCGCCCCTGCCCTCCCCTCCGGACCCTTGGCCCACCCTGGGGGACAGAAGACCCAGCTGCTGGAGGGCTGTGCTCTCCGCCACAGGCCCGCTGGCAGTCAGCGCCTCTGCCAACTTGTTTTTGCCCTTGAATTAATTCGTTTTGGCCATGAGTTCGTATCCCGGCTCCTCTCTGTTCGCCCCCTTTTCCTTACACTTTCCAGGTCTGCTCTGCCCTCAGTAACCAGGTGGCCTGGGGGAGTTCCCTGGCCCGAGCCCCCAGTGCTGCTGGCCAGGGTTTCCACAGGGAGAGCAATGGGCACTGGGACTGAGACAAGCAGGGGGCTGTGCTGGCGCCCTCAGGTAAATGCCACGGGTGGCCGTCGGTCACCACGCCATCTTCCAGGACAGCAAGATTCAGAGACTCCTCTGGGGCAGGGCAGAGGGAGCCCAGCTCTTCCCCTCTGCCCAGGGCAATGCGGATCCTGGAGCCAGGGCAGGCCAGAGCTATAACCTCCCAGGACTAGGCTGCCCGGATGCCAAGGCTCCCATTCCCCTCAGCCCCCACATCCCGAAGAAATACAGCAGCAGCAGCAGAGACCACCCATGTGCCAGACCCCCCGAGGGCGTCCGTGCTTCTTCCTTGAGGCCTGGCCATGCTTTTTTTTTTTTTTTTTAGTCGCGGTGCTTTCTTAATATAGGCAGAGTTAGACAGTGAGAGAGAGAGAGACAGAAAGAAAGGTCTTCCTTTTGCCATTGGTTCACCCTCCAAATGGCCGCTATGGCCGGTGTTGTGCCGATCCGAAACCAGGAGCCAGGTGCTTCCTCCTGGTCTCCCATGGGGTGCAGGGCCCAAGTACTTGGGCCATCCTCCACTGCACTCCCTGGCCACGGCAGAGAACTGGACTGGAAGAGGAGCTACTGGGACAGAACCGGCGCCCCAACTGGGACTAGAACCCGGAGTACCGGTGCCGCAGGTGGAGGATTAGCCTAGTGAGCTGCGGTGCCGGGTTTCCACAGGGAAACTATGCTATTATTGCCCCGCGTCACAGGTGGGGAAAGTGAGGCTCGGCGGCACTTGGGGACTTGCTGCTGTCACATGGTAGGGAGCAGAGCCAGGTGCAAAGCCTCAGAGCTGTGCCTCTAACCACCATGGCACACAGCCGTTTGTCCTGAGGGTGGAGAATGCACTTGCTATGCGAGCAGGGCTCAAGAACACTCAGAGTTCCCCCAAGGAAAGATCCTGGAGTGACCACTGAGCTCCAGCTGGCCTTGGCTGTCTGATCTTTGGATCCTGGCTGGCAAGGATCACACTCACAGCCCCAGGGCCAGAATGTACCTAGGCATCTCACCCTAGTCCTGCCTCCCCACCCCCAGCCCCCTCCCCTGTCCTGTGCCTGCAGCCCCGCCCTCCTGTCCACGAGGCCAGGCTGGTCAGAGGCTCCCAGGCTCTGGACCTCTCAGGGGCAGGCATGGCTCTCCACCCCCGGGAAGGCCAGGAGTTCAGGGGCGGACCCTGCTCAGCATTAAATACTTGCGTCCGGCACTGCCCAGGCCTCCTGTGCCGCCTTCCCAGCCGGTCACTCGACCAAGATCCACCATGGTAAGCGTGTGGCCGGGGCCCTGGCTGACCTTGGGGGAGACCTCTAGAGGCAGCTCGGTGGGAGCCCTGAGCCTCACTCTCCGTTTCTTTGTCCTCAGACGACTTACAGTGACAAGGGAGCAAAGGTACGACGGCGGGGAAGTGGGGGGACCTGGGGCAGGGAGGCTGTGGCCCAGCAAAGAGCAGAAGAGGAACGACAAGTGACGCTGCCCGCACGGTGCCCTTGCATGCAACTCCCATGCATCCCCGACTCCGACACACTGAGCTGGACCTCTCCTTAAATACCTGCCCCTCTCGTCACCTTGTCCACAAGTTCCTTCTAAGGTCTAACTTAAAGCCATGTTGCTGCAGCTGAAAGTTATGTCCCCTCGTGGAACCTGGGCAAGGCCTCCTGGGAGTGCTGCCCAGCCCTGAGCCCACAGGAGCTCCACTTCCCTGTGAGAAACCTCTTAGGAGGCTCAGCCAGGCTGTGCGGGCTCTACCTTGTCCTAAGCCCTAGGTTGCAGCTGTGAGCAGCCAGGTGGCGGGGGAGGCCTCTCCACCTGCACCTCCCCAGCCCCCGCTCCGGGCACTCAACCACACGGCTCCCCTCCTTCCTGCAGCCCGAGAGAGGCCGATTCCTCCACTTCCACTCTGTCACCTTCTGGGTCGGCAATGCCAAGCAGGTAGTGGCAGGGCACGGTGTTGGGGTGGGCAGGCAAGAGGGCCTCCGGGGCAAGGGCAGGCCTCCAGCCAGGTGTGGGATGGGCTCCTGGGAGGGGAGGGGAGGGTCACTCCCGCCTCGGCCCCCGGCCCCGGCCACTCAACCCTGGTTACACAATCGGGGCCGCAGAGCCTGGCGGGAACCCGAGGACACAGTGTGCCCGGAAGCTGCCTTTCTCTCTTCCCGGGAAGGACTCTGCTCCTGGGGCACCAGGGCAGACGGGCTGAGGGTGGCCGGGCCCGACCACTGCCCTCCTGAAGCTGTGGCCACTCTACACTGCAGGCTGCCTCATTCTACTGCACCAAGATGGGCTTCGAGCCGCTGGCCTACAGGGGCCTGGAGACAGGGTCCCGGCAGGTGGTCAGCCATGTGATCAAGCAAGGGCAGGTGAGTCTGCCCCCCGCCACGCCCCACCAACAGCTCATCCCAGCAGTTGGCGCCCCTGAGGGCGCTGGCCCTCCCAGATCTTCCCATCAGCCTCCAAGCATGTGTGCCCGGGATGCGCAGCTTGGCTGGTTCCAGGACACCAAGTTCAGCCTCACTGGCCAGTCCATCACGCCCCTGGGTACAACCGCAGCACAGGCCACCCCTAGTCTTGTCGCCTCCTGAGCCTGGTCCATCGCTGGCCCTGCAGATGCTCAGGAAACCGAGGCCATCAGAGCAGGGAGTCTTGGGGTGGTCCCCCAGGTGGACCCAGCGTAGAAAGCCCCCACCCTTAGGCCAGTGGTGGGGAGGCTCAGGAGAGAAGGAATTAGAACCCCTAGCCAGCAGCTGTGCAGGGCCGGGTCCCTTAGCTCTACCAGGCATGGCCCGGGTGCGCAGGGAGGAGGGGCGGGGCGCTCGCCCAGGGTCACGGCCACATCCCCTTCTCCGTGTTTTAGATTGTGTTTGTCCTCTCCTCAGCACTCAACCCCGGGAACAAAGGTGAGGGCATGGGGGTGGGACCGGGGTATGGAGGGGGACAGACAGGGATGCAGTATGAGGGGGAGCTGAGCCCAGAAGGTGGAAAGCCAGGTGAGGGGGCCCTGGACCTCGGTGCCAGCACCTCCTGCCGGCCACAGAGATGGGCGACCACCTGGTGAAACACGGCGACGGAGTGAAGGACATCGCGTTCGAGGTGGAAGACTGTGACTACATCGTGCAGGTGAGAGCACAGCTGGGCAGTAAGGTGCCACCTGCCCCTGGCCTGCCCCGGGCTGGGCTGGGCGCTGCTGCGACACACAGCCGGGTTCCGGCGATGCTGTGCCCCCTTTACGTGTGGTGTCCCTGCTTCGAGCCGTAGTTTCTGCATCTTGGAAATGGGCTAGCAGCACCTCTTCACTGAGATGATTCAGAGAGGAAACGAGACCATAACACCAAACCAACACTGACTCAAGCATGGATTTAGAGACAGGCTGCCCGGGTCTGAATCTTACTAGCTGTGTGGCTTTGGGCAGGTGACTTAACTTCTCTGTGCATCAACCCCTAGAACAGTCATGATGACAGCACCTTCACGTGACCCATGCAGGCAGTAAGCACAGGGCCTGGCGCACAGTAGGTGCTCAGTAAATGTCCTATCGTATTCCTACCCAACCACCTGTTTTACAGATGGGGGAGATGAGGACTGGAGGGGCAATGGCCAGATGGGGGAGTTAGGTGAGGCAGGATGGAGACCCACCCCTTCCTGTCTCCCCCGGGCCGAATGCTGAGCCTGTGGTTCATTTCCTGCCCTGCAGAGTGAGCGTGAGGCTTGGTTCTCAGGGTAACAGCGAAGCTGGGGTTCCTGCTGGCAGCAGGCAAAGTCTCAGGGAGGCTCCAGCCCTCACCACCCGCCCGCCCTCCCATCTCCTCTGCAGAAAGCCCGGGAACGGGGGGCCAAAATCCTGCGGGAGCCCTGGGTGGAGCAAGACAAGTTTGGGAAGGTGAAGTTTGCTGTCCTGCAGACGGTGAGTTGGCTGTGGCGGCCCCTCTCCCCACCCCCACCCCCCCATCAGCTCCCACCGAGATCCAGGAAGGCCCCCCATGTGCCTGAGGGCAGAGGGCAGTCGTCCCTCCCCATGGAGTTAGAAGCGCTGGGCAGAGACCCCAGATGGGAAACCCACACCCTGAAGGGGCTGTGAAACTTCGGGCGAGCCGCGGCCCTTCCGGGTCTCTGTTTAAGTGCAAGGAGTGGAGCTGGACCGTCTGTGCCGCCCGGTCGGCTCCTCGGTTTCAGCAGCTCCACCCCCTCCTAGCACTGCCGAAAGGACCAAGGAGGTCACTCGTGCCAGCACAGTGCCGGCGACAGTGCTGCGGGTGTGGGCACCGTGCAGAGTGCCAGCTCTGCTGTTGTTCAGAGACCACCTCCCGGAGGAGGCGGGGTCCAACACGCCTGATGGAGCCTCTCCCTGCAAGGGCTCCAGTGCCTCCCCAGCCTCCCCAAGGCCTCCTCACCTTTCTACTGAACACCTGCCATGTGCCAGGCGGCACGCTGTTAGGAGACCATGATGCACGAAACAGGGTCCCTGCCCCCACACAGCTTCCGGTCCCACGGCACAGACAGACCACCAGAGAAACTCCCAAGTCAATGACAGGTTGGAGTCCGTTCCAGACGGGGAAGTGAATCGGCCAAGATCACACACGCAGTTAGGGAGGGCCGTGCTGGCGACAGGGAAGGTGGCCGGGCCTCAGCGGGGCTGGGCGCTCAGGGACTGTCCTCCGCCTGCAGTATGGGGACACCACTCACACCCTGGTGGAGAAGATGAACTACACCGGCCGCTTCCTGCCTGGGTTCGAGGCCCCAATGTCCAAGGACCCCCTCCTTTCCAAGCTGTGAGTGCCCCTGGGCTGGGGGTGGGTTGCAAGCAAAGTGCCCCCCGCCCCACGTGGACCTGGCCTCTGGGACACGCAGAGCTTTGAGTCTGCTAGGGAACGTGGGAAAGTTCACCTATGCCCTCAGCCTTGGCCATCAGACTCCTTGGGGTCAAATCCCAGCGCTTCATGGCCACTCACTCCAAACCTGTCTCTTCCTCCATAGAATGGGGACGGTTTGTAGGGTGTGATTAACAAAGTAAAGTGCCCAGCGGCAGGCAGCCTGGTGCTGCACATTTAGCAACTGCCTGGTTGGAGTGCTGGCTACTTTGCTTCTGATCCAGCTCCTTGCTGTTGCACCCTGGGAGGCTGCAGATGGTGGCCCAAGTGCTTGGGTCCCTGCTACCCACGCGGAAGACCTGGCTTGGGCCCAGCCCAGTCCCGGCCATTGTAGGCATTTGGGGCGTGAACAGGCTCACTCACTCTTCTGTCACTCTGACTTTCAAGTAGATGAAAATAAATAAGTGAACATTTGAAAAACCAAAGTGCCTGGCCCGTAGTAAGCGTCCTCTAAGTGTCCTTGAGGTGTCCGGGGGAAGGGGGCGATTTGGAGGTCGCTCTCGCCCCCACCCTTCCCCTTCCCAGGCCCAGCTGCAGCCTGGAGATTATCGACCACATTGTGGGAAACCAGCCTGAGCAGGAGATGGTGTCGGCCTCGGAATGGTGAGCCCCCCCGCCCAGGGGAAAGGCCCCCAAAGTGGGGGAACAGAGTGGAAGGGGGTGGGTGGTCAGCCTGAGGTCACCCACGACTCACTGTAAAACTGAACCCGAAGTGATCCTGGGTTCTCCCCACGAGGAACCTTGGGAGTGTCACCGTCTGGGAACACTTCCAGAGACTGTCACTATCTGTCACCAGTCCATCCTCTGCTGGGTCAGCCTGTGCGCAGGGGAGCGCGCACAGGAGAACGGGGGGAGCCAGCACGAGGGGCCGCCTCGCTTTTCTAACAGCCCCCTCCCTCGAGAGTGGCAGTGATCCACGCCCCGGGGCAGAGCCGGGTCCTCCCGGGACATCACAGTGGCAGTCCAGTTTCAGTGTGAGTCGTGAGGGGCATCACACCACGGCTCCACCCAAACAGCCCCCTCGTCCAAACGACAGCAAACAGCAGCAGGCGCCTCTCTCTCAAAGCAACCGACCTCCACCTGTTGCAGCATTGCCATAGGACCTGCATTTTGTCAAAAGATACTTACTTCCCCCCTAAAGACAAACTGTCATCATAAAGGTGCAAATCTAGGCTTCCGGAAGGTGGAAGTGGGGGCGGGCCAGGCCGGTCCCCGGCTGGCGCTCGGAGCAGACGCGTCCCGCTGGCCACTGTGCAGGTACCTGAGAAACCTGCAGTTCCACCGCTTCTGGTCCGTGGACGACACGCAGGTGCACACAGAGTACAGCTCCCTGCGCTCCATCGTGGTGGCCAACTACGAGGAGTCCATCAAAATGCCCATCAACGAGCCAGCGCCTGGCCGCAAGAAGTCCCAGATCCAGGTGGGGGCTCCCCTGCCTGGGGGAGGGGAAGGCAGGGAAAGGGTCTGAAGGCTCCCACAGGGCTGGAGACAAATGATGATGGCGTCCTTCCCTCGGCCCCCAGGAATACGTGGACTACAACGGGGGAGCCGGGGTCCAGCACATCGCCCTCAAGACCCACGACATCATCTCCGCGGTGAGAACTCCTTCCTCTCTTCATCCCTCTGTGGGCCCCGTGAGCATCCTGGGCCCCCTTCTCTGGGTCTGTGACTGGCGGGCCCACCCCAGAGCACACGAAGAGTTCAGAACACTCGGGGCCCTGGGGGCAGCAGGAGCCAGGGTATCAGGAAGCCTGGATTCCAGCCCTGGCTCTGCCGGTGCCTTGCTGTGTGCCTCTGGGGGATTCAACCACCCTCTCTGGGCTTCCGTTGCCACATCTTGAAAATTAGAATTCCAGACCCTGAGACCTATGACGCTCTTCCAGCCAAATTAAATAAACATCCTGTGTCTGCGGATCCAGCCCCTGGGGAACTGGGTTCTCTCTGTCCCTCAGGGTTGAATGGGAGCCTGGATGACCCCGCCCAATCCTGGTCCAACCGGAATTTGCTGCATGGCCTTGGCCACTCCCTTCACTCTTCCATGCATTCACTCCATAGACGCTTGAGCCCCGGTCTTGTGCCAGGCACTGTTTTAGCTCCTTGGGACACACGAGCAACCCACAGTGTCTGTCCTTACAGAGACGATGAACACAACAAGAAAAGTGTGTGGGAGCTGGCGGTCAGCATTCTGGAGGAAAATACAGCGGGGAGGGGAGAGTGAGGGTGAAGGGCAGGTGTCCAGGGAAGGCTTCCGGGAACACATCTCAAAGTGCACAGGGCTGGAAGGAGAAGTCAGAGTCGAGGGGGAAGGCCCAGGTGTGGCTGGAACAGAATGGGTAAGACTGGGGGTGGGGCCGGGTCAGTAGGTAGAGTAGGGCCAGAGGGGGAGGGCGGAGTGAGGACTTTGCACTTGACTCTGGAATGTGGCGTCACCGTGGGGTAAACAGAGAAATAACCCAGTTTGCCCTGTATTTTAAAAAAGTCACTCTGGCCACTATGGCAAGAATAGACGATGCCTCCGCTTTGCCAGCTGTGAAATGGGGATAGTAAGAGTGCCGCGTGGGCACACGGAGGAGGCAACGCTCAGAGAGTGCTAGAGGCAGGCACGCAGGGGGCGGTGTCCTGGCGGCTGGGGGTTGCTAGGAGGGGCGCCCTGCCTCTGCCTGCCCAGCAGCTGCAGCTGGACAGGCTGAGGCTGACCTCAGCCCTGCTCTGGGGCAGATTCGCCACTTGAGAGAGAGAGGCATGGAGTTCCTGGCTGTGCCGGCCACTTACTACAAGCAGCTGCGGGAGAAGCTCAGGTCGGCCAAGATCCGGGTGACCGAGAGCATCGATGTCCTGGAGGTGAGGCCAGCCCCAGCCAGGTGGGACTGAGCCTGCACGTGGGGCGGACGCCCTGGCTGTAGGGCGGGGAGGTGACAGGCCACCTGAGGCCCTCTGTGGACGTGGCTGGCGCTGCTGGAGGAAGGGGTCTTTTCCGGGCCTGGGGGGGGTGCAGGGACCCCCTGCGGGCCTTCTACGGACCCGCCGAGGTCCAGCCAACAGAGAGGGTCAGCGAGCCTCTGGGTCCCGCCTAGGAGCTGAAAATCCTGGTGGACTACGACGAGAAAGGCTACCTCCTGCAGATCTTCACCAAGCCCATGCAAGACCGGCCCACGCTCTTCTTGGAGGTCATCCAGCGACACAACCACCAGGTGCGTGTGCCCCGCACGCCCCAGGGGGCACTCAAAGCAGCACTGTCCTCAGCTGGGTCCGCGGCTCACCCTCTGTCTCCCGCGGTAGGGCTTCGGAGCCGGCAACTTCAACTCCCTGTTCAAAGCCTTCGAAGAGGAGCAGAATCTGAGAGGCAACCTCACCGACATGGAGACCAACGGGGTGGTGCCCGGCATGTAGGCCCCGCCCACTCCCGCCGACCTACAGAGGCTCCGCCCACTCGCCGGCGCGCGGCCACGCCCCCGCCTCGGAACACGCTCCCCTCCCGGGCCCGGCGCGTCAGTCCCCACTAGCCACACCCCGAGCCACGCCCACCTCGTGACCACGTGTCCTCCTGAGTAAAGCTCGCCCCAGTCCAACCGGCGTGTGGATGCTGAGGCGCAGTAGCTCCTCTTCGCCGCCAGGGGGAGTCTGGAGCGGCGGCGCCCGCGCGCGGGGTCGGGACGCGCAGCCGCAATGGGCCGGCGCGCGGATGCCGGGGGCGTTCCGGAGCTAGGGAGGGCTGGGCTTCCGTCGCGGTTTCGTGGAGTGGCGAGTGCTATAAAGCCGGTGCCGGGATCACGTGGCGGTGGAGATGGGAGGGGCTCCTCTCGAGCGAAAAGAGGCACCTCTGAAGGGTGGCACCGGGGAGCCCGCCGCGGGAAATCCGGGGGCAGAGGGGCAGGTGCAGGAGCCAGGAGCGGCGACGGAGCTGGGCTTCGTGGTCTGGGCAGGCGGCCTGTCCCCCCAGATGTGCCATGCGGCGGCGCGCAGACCGCTGAGCGAGCGGGAGCCGAGGAGCTGGGGGCGCAAGCCTTGCCCCGCGACCACCCGGGTGCAGGGCGCGCGGGTGCGGGGGTCCGACCCCCGTCTGCCGCCTCTGGTCCCCAGCCCTTGGAGCTCGGGGACTTTCCTCTAAAAGCAGGCAGAGGAGGAGGAGGTGCGTTCCTGGCCTCTCCCTGTGCTCCCGGGAGTCCGCTGGGATCGCAGTGCAAGGAAACCACGTGGGTGGGTGTCCTAGGGGGAAATGGGGAATTTTTTTTTTTTTTTTTTTTTTTTCTTGACAGGCAGAGTGGACAGTGAGAGAGAGAGACAGAGAGAAAGGTCTTCCTTTGCCGTTGGTTCACCCTCCAATGGCCGCCGCGGCCGGCGCACCGCGCTGATCCGATGGCAGGAGCCAGGAGCCAGGTGCTTTTCCTGGTCTCCCATGGGGTGCAGGGCCCAAGCACGTGGGCCATCCTCCACTGCACTCCCGGGCCACAGCAGAGGGCTGGCCTGGAAGAGGGGCAACCGGGACAGAATCCGGCGCCCCGACCGGGACTAGAACCCGGTGTGCCGGCGCCGCTAGGCGGAGGATTAGCCTAGTGAGCCGCGGCGCCGGCCCGAAAATGGGGAATTTATCCTATTTTTTTTCAGATGGTAGAAGAAATTGGATCTTCAGGGATCAGAAACTTCAAAAACGAAAAGAACACCCGAGAGATCCCAGAGGATCAGGCCCCAGCTTCGGGCAAAAGCACCCTCGCTTCTGCACAGCTGGTGCAAAGCAGGGGAATTCTGTTGCCCTGAGGTTGCAGATGGGGGGCTGCTGGGCCAGAACCGGCTCGCAGACGATGGTTCGCTTGCCTGCGAGGCTTCTTCAAACACATTTGAGCCGACTTTTCGGCAAGCTGAGCTGTTTCAAATACAAGTCTAGGATTCTGGTTCTTGGCACGATCAGGCCTCTAGTTAGCCTCAAATGCTGGATGCTGAGTGGGAGGCCTGTGCAGGTGGGGCCTGGGGGGAGGTCCCCGTTAGCTGAGGACAGGTTCACACCCCAGATCAGCTGCTTGCTGTGTGAACTTGGGCAAGCGTCTTGACCTCTCTGTGCCTGTTTCTGCATCTGTGCAATGGGACTATCCCTCTCTTATGGCTCTTGAGGGTCGGATGTTTAAAATAGCGGCTGGCACAGAGAGGCTGCCGGGAACGCATCTATCTCCAATCGGCGCTCCCCCTGTGCTCCCCTCCTTGGCAGAACCAATGAAGAGAAGGGCAGGGGGAGAGGGAGAGGTGGGGCAACAAGGAGGCACCATCAGGTTTGGCAGGATGGGGTGGGGGGCAGGAGTCCAGGGTTGCTGGGGGTCTTGAGTTTAGGTGGCAGCAGGGAGTGGTGGGTGGAGGTGGGAGGCAGAGATGCCACTGACAGAGATGGAAGATCCGTCAGGAGCCAAGTTCCAGGGAGAAGATGGAATGTGTGGGTGTGGCCCCCTCGTGCTGCCCTGCGAGGCCTCCATTGCCGGCCTCACCCAAGCGCTCACTCAGCACCTTTCGCCCTTGGTCGGCGGCAGCCACACCTGCCATCCGGCTGTTTCTAATACTTGAGGTGGGCTCCTGCCTGCAGGCCTTTGCCCTCCCTGTTCCCTCTCCTGGACGGCCTCTTCCCCACCACTGCAGCCGACCCCCCACACCTGCCCCCACAATGGACACCCCTTCTCTTAGCTCTCTCTTCTTCCCACCTCCATTCTTCAAGCCATTCAGCTCAGGATGCTTCCCCAGGGCCTGCGAGACTGGCACACGGTGGGTGCTTGGGTGGTACTGGGCGAATGAGTGAGTTAGGGGAGATCTCCCTTCCCTCCCGCCAGCCCACCCCAGTGAAGTGCACCCCGGCTTCACGTCACCATCGCCAGAGCATGCTGCGACAGTCCTGTGTCCGTCAGGCTCGGTTCTTGACAGAATATTTGGGCCAAGGGTATGAGCATCTTCTGTCCCCATGGTCCCCATCGCAGGGCTCCCGCAGCCTGCAGCAAAGTGGGCTCCTGCTAATGGCACGCCCTGTCTGCCGGCCCGGCCAACACTGGCTATTTCCAAACTCGCATTTGCCGCCTTGATGGGGAAATGGTGTCCCTCTGTCATTGGCATCTCTTTAGTGAGAAGGGAGGCGCGGGGTCTTCCCAGTCCGGGTGCTGTCTGCAGTCTTGGAGTCTCCTGAGACTCCCTGGACAGTGCCCCTGCCCTCTCTGCCCAGCACCTCTGGAGTGCCACAGGCACAGGACCTGTCACCCTGGCCCTGTGGGTGTCAGGTGTTTTGAGCACACACTCTGTGGGTTCTTCTGATGATGGCCACAGAATGCTTGATCGGATCTCAAGGGCAGGCGGTGACACCTTAAAGTTTTAGGCTATGGAAGGCCGTCTGACCGTGATGTGGCCCACTTCACAGAACCCACCCAGTGGACCACGCCACACACTGCTGCGCAGAGCCTGGCCGGGGAGTGCTCCCCGCAGAGAGAGAGAACGAGGAGGACAGGCAGAGAGAGGAGAGCGAGAGAGATGGCGTATCTGTAAGAAAAGTCAGTGTATTTATGGTTTGCTTTATAAAAGTTACTATAATACAATGGTACATAGTATTGAATTCACAAAAATATGAACAAATATTTACAGCAACACACACCCACAACGGAAACACTTCTCTTCAAAACAAGTTACATACAGGTGACAGAGTCTACACACGAACACCCCTAGATTTCATCTCTTCTCTTCTTCGCAGAGAGCGGGGGGCAGAGCAGAAACCCCTAACCTTCAAAAGCAGAGATTTGTTCAATGCAAACAAAGGAGTTGAAAGAAAAATGAGCCAACACTCTTCTAGATTATTGCAAACCATTCCAGGGTAGGGGCGGGGTTCCGGGGAGGGGGCCCAGCCCCTGGCCCTTGGGGAAGTTAACAGTGGCCCCAGTGTGGTGGGGCGAGGCCGGCCCCTCCCCTGGTTTCCTCACCTCCCCCCACTTCTTTCTTTCCTGGGGGGAGGGGAGGGGTGAGAATGAAGTCTCTGCCAACTACACATTTCCTTGTGTGAAAAATAAATATTTCCTCAGTTGCACAACAAGGCAAAGAACCGCACGTGGAAGAGAAGGTTGCCGTGGTGCCCAGGGACCCCACACCCTGTCGCATCCTAATGCCACCGACTTCCTCGCCTTGAAACCGGCGGGCTCGGTCTCCAACCCGAGAGGGTCTGGGGTGAACTGGAAAAAAAAAAAAAAAACAAACAAAAAAACAAAACCACCAACGACAAAAAAAAGAGAGAGAAAAATAACAATTCTTTGTACAGAATTTACATGATACAAGCTTGACACAAGCTGAGATAGCAGAGGCCGCGCGTCTGTCCACGGGTGGGAGCCGCGCCGCGGGGCCTCTCGTCCTGGAGCCGCCGGTCACCAGTCACGTTCCAGAGACTATGTACACGCCTGCGCTGCTCGCCGGGGCCGGGGGGGCTCGCGCTCGTGCGCCTGTCGTGGTTTTTCCCGGAAGTACGAAGCAGTGAGGCCTAAGCCCCCCGTCTGTTTCCACAAGAAACAACGTGCCCCGGAGTCCTTCGCGGCAGTCTATGTACAGGGGCTGCTGCTGAACTGCCAAACCCATCGTGTCCCCCTTCGTCTGGATTTTACACACGCATAAGAAACAAAAATCCATGGATATAAACCCTGAAGAGGATGGAAGGGGTCAAAAGGGAAAAAACTGTCAAAGACTTGGATCTGAGTTTTCAAATCTTCTCTCCAAGATTCTGCTTGCTCTGGGAGGAATAAGCTGCTCACTCAGCAAATAAATATGCTTTGGCCTGGCAGGGTCGACGCTGGGCGGGGGGCGTGGAGCTTCTCCACGCGAACGCGCCACGCTGCAGTGGTGGGGCGGGCACGGGCAGCTCACCAGCCCCTCCCAGCCCCCACACCCAGTCTGGGGTCCCCGGGGGCTCCCTCGCTGCTGGCATCCGAATGAAAAAGTAAACATTGAACCCAAGGTTGGGGGGTGGGGAGCAGGGAGCCCACGGCGCACTCCTGCCTGGGACTGGATGGCTCCTCCAGCAGCTCGGGGAAGAGACTGGGGAGTGGGTGGAGAAGGCTGGGGGGCTCCTCGCTGCGTGGCGGGCAGAGGGGGCCTGGCAGGTACGTAGTGTTCTGAGGTCACGGCCGCTGGCGGCCCCTGCCCGCAGCACCTGGCCGGCACCTCAGTCGTGGAACCGAGGCCCCGCTCTGATTCTGCCTTCACATTTCAACGGTTAAAATGTCTTTTCTTACGACGAGGACGAAAATAAAGAGAAGACAAAAACAACGTAGCAGCATTCACGGGAAGGAGCCGAGGGTACAGACAGAAAAAAGATGGAGAAAGCCGGAGAGGAGGGACTGGGTGTGGGAGTCAGACACAGAGACAGAAGTTCATGGCCAAGGACGATCCTCAGAGGAGCAATTCTGGAAACGAAGAGACGTGGGCTGACGGACAGAGAAGCCCTTTCCCGCGGAGAGGCTGGAGCTGCGGGGGGTGTCCTGGGGTAGTGTTGGGGCGCCGGGCCCTGGCGGGGCCACAGGGGGAGAGGGACAGCACCTGAAATGAGGCGGGAGCTGGGGCCGGCCCCGGCTGACATGTGGGCGCCGGGCGGGGCTAGTTGAGGGTCCCCCTGCAGTTCTCGGAGCCGCACAGGCAGGGGATCTTGACGTCCTCGATGGGGAACTTGTAATCGTAGGTGATCTCCTCGTTGACGCTGATGTGTTGCTTCGAGTAGATGACGATCTTCTTCTGCGACTCCACCGTGATCACCTTGGCGTAGCAGTTGGGCTGCGGCAGGAGAGGAGGAGGAGGGTGAGCCCCAGCCCCCCCCGACCCAACCGCATCTCTGCTCGGGGCCTGACTTCCGGCCACAGGGTCCCCCTTTCCCTTCCTACTGCAGGTGACTCTGCAATTTGTATTGCCAGCCAGGCCCTCTCTTCTGAGCTTGAGACAAGGGTGCTACCAGCTACGCCCCCAGCTGCCTGATTTTCTGAACAAAGTTTTATTGGCACACAGCCACCCCCTTTCACCCATTCCCTGCGTGTCACCTGTGGCTGCCGCTGTTCCCGCCGCAGTTAGGCAGCTGCTGCAGACATGACCTGGGCCACAAAGTCAAAAATTCTGACCCGGAGCAATGTGGCTCCTGTCCCAGACCCATGACTCCAGGAACCCTCTTGGCACCTGCCTTCAGCTGCTCTGGGAGGTGGCGTTGACTCAAGAAGCTCGAACCTGAATTTGTGACCCGCTCCTGCTTGGGGCAGAGGCCACACCGGGCGCCTGGGCCCTTGAGCAGCCACCTCCCCTCCTCCTGCAGTGCCAGCTCCAGCCCCACCGTGTCTGGGACGTTCGAGCTTCTAAGGGAACTCTTGAGTCCGTCTACGGGGCCCCCATCATTGCTCCCCTGGATGGCAGCAGCCCCACTCCTAGCCCAGCAGCCAGGGGAAGCTCTCCCGAGAGCCACCCTACGGCTCCAAGCCTTCCAATGTTGTCAGCACCCTGGCCCCATCCAACCTGCCTGCCTCGTCTTCTCAGCCCCTAACTTCATACCCACCACCTCCACATGCTGCCCCTCAAACAGCTGCTCCAGCCCTGCCCCCAGGCCTTTGAACATACCACTCCCCGACCGGAACACCTGCCCCACTTCCCACTCTTTGTCTCTCAGATCTCACAGACTCCCAGGAAGAGTCTCTTCTGGTCCCTAAGGCACAATGACCAAGTCACAGCTGTGAGAGCGAGGACGCGTACGGGGCTGGCCGTGTGAGCACACACCAAGGACCGTCACGCGGAACTCCACAACCTCTGACGGGACGGCTGCCATTGCCTCTGCTTCACCGATGGGGAAACTGAGGCGCAGTGATGGTAACTGTCCTACAGCAAGGATGCCGAAGCCTGGCCCGAGTCAGGGCTCCTCTGCTGGCACCAGCTGCCTGTGGCGCCGGGTCTCCCTCAGCACAGGAATCCCCGCGGGCAGCGCCCCCTCCTCTCCAGCCCTGTACCACCTGGTTCAGGGCCAGCACTGGGGCGTAGTAGGCTAAGCCTCTGCCTGCGGCACTGGCATCCCGTATGGGCACCGGTTTGTGCCCCAGCTGCTCCTCTTCTGATCCAGCTCCCTGCTAATGGCCTGGGAAGGCAGTGGAGACGGCCCTGCACCCATGTGGGAAACCCAGAAGAAGCTCTTGGCTCCTGGCTTCGGATCGGCCCAGCTTGGGCCATTGCACCCATTTGGGGAGTGAACCAGCGGAGGCAAGACCTCTCTGTCTCTCCCTCTCTCTCTCTGTAACTCTGTCAAATAATCTTTTAAAAAAATTTAATCTAAGCTTCAATTCACTCAAGACTCAGTCCCTCAGTTGTACTGGCCACATTTCAAGGGCTCGATCCTATGCGTGGCCAGTCTTCCTCAGTGGACAACACAGAGACATGGAGCCCACTGCAGGGAGTCCCCGGGGGAGGCTGTGCCGAGAGCCTGAGCTCTCTCCAAGCCCCGCCCAAGGAGGCACTGGGGGGAGCCCATGGCTGAAGCAACATTTCCTGAGCACCATTAGTGCTTCACACACAACAAAAGCCTCACTGTGCCCATTTTACAGATGAGAAGACAGAAGCTCGGAGTTGAACAAGGCTCCTTGCACAGGGCCTCACATCCCTACCTCCCCATGAACATGACCTGCACTTGGGAAGGAGGCCAAGCCGGCTCCCCTGCCGGGGGCTCCCGGGTCCTCCTCACAGAGGCGGGGGCAGCGCTGGCCCTGGCCGGTACTCACATTGCAGCTGTGGTTAATGAAGCGCGCAAAGTTGCCGCACTTGGTGGCGTCGATGATGGTGTCGTGGTCCACCCGGAACATGTAGCTGCTGCCGATGCCCTCATCCTCATAGCGCTTCTCCCGCATGTCCGCGATCACCTGCCAGCGACGGGGCGTCAGGCAGTGCCCCGCGGCCTGCGTCCACCCAGGTGCCCACCGTGCCAGGCCGCACCTACCTGGCGGATGTTCTGGCCCACGTACTCGATGACCATCTCGTCGGCCGCGATGGGCTCCATGGCGAACAGGCCCCAGTCGTGAATGTGGCTCTTGCAGAATTTGAGCTTTTTCTTCCGGAACTGAGGGAGGCAGGTCAGGAAGAGTGAGCCCTGCCCCCCAGGCTCCCGCCCCTGCCACGGCTGCCGCGGGCAGCGCCCCGTCTCACCTTGAGCTGGTTGAACTTGAGCAGGTCACTGTCGCAGCTGCCAGTGAAGGAGGACAGCAGGCGGCGCTGCTCCGAACGCCGCTCCGAGCCGGCCCGCGTGGAGGCGTGGGGCTGTGCGGGGATGCTCATGCCCTGGGAGTGCACAGCCACCGCCGCTCAGACTCAGACCTGGGTCCTGGGCGCTCAGCGGGGCTGTGCCGCTGGCCCTTTCGCACCCGACAACCCCACCGAAGCTCCGGGTCTCTGCTGTCTCCGACTCCCCAGGCTTCTCGCCCTGGGCTTTTCCACACCCATCTGTCCCTCGCTGTCACTTCTTTGCCTGCTCCTTCCCGTCAACATCGAAGCATCCTCAGCTCCCCCCACCTTGGCAGCGCCCCCCCCCAACTTCTGCTGTCTTTCCCTCATCTGAGCTGTTCTGAAAGCTGGCAGGCATCTCCCAAGGCCCTGCTGTCCCCTCAAACTCCTTCCTCGAAACCCCGGTGTCCCATCTCTCAGTCTCCACCTCTGTCCAGCATCCGTCCACCCCGAAGCTCTCCCGGTGAGCTCGTCTCCATCCTGACGGTGTTGACAGGTCCCAGAAGGAAATCCCCCACCCAAGCCCCACTGCACCCTGATGCCCAACTGCGCACCTGCCAGACCTCCACATCTGATACCCCACACTCCCATCCCACGCCGTGCCACGGGGAGGTCTTGGCGCTTGGCTTCCAGCCCCAGCCCTGCCCTTGCAACTTTCTGAGTCTTTCACATGCAACCTCCTGGACTCTCCCGTCCGTCCCACCCTCGTGTCTGACCTGGAAACCACAATGACCCTCAGGCGGTCTCCCCGTCTGGACGCCCACAGTCAGCTTGACAAAGCAGCCGGTGCAAGCTTTAAAACCCAGACTGAACCACGTCACCTGCACATCTTGTCTGCAAACCCTCCCTCGGCCACCATGCACCGGATACAAATCTAAGCTCACCACCCTGGCTCTCAGGACCCTTTCTCCTCCCCGCCTCGTGGCCTTGCACGTGCTGTTCCTCTGTGTGTGGCTGACTGCATTCAGTGAGCCCTCTCTCGTGCCATCCTTTTAGCAAGGGCTTATCTACTTCTCTGTTGTCTAAAAGTCCCCCACCCACAGGCGCCTTCCCTGGCTTCATCCAAGCCTGGCTCCAACGTGACACCCTCCCCCACCCTGTGACTCACCCATCCCTAGCCCCTCTCCTGATCTCTCCACAGCATCCCCTCCACCAGGAACTACCAGCTCCTCCCTCCAGGAGAACCCCAGACCCAGGACAGGGAGGGGCGTCTTGTTCACTGCAGCCCCAAATGATGCCCAGCACACAGCAGGGGCTGCACCTGCCGGAGACACAAGTCTGCTCGCCCTGCTGCCAGAAGCCTCTCACGGGCTCCCCAGTGCCCGTGGGACCGAGACTGCTTCTCGACTGGGCTCTCAGGCCCTGCCGGCCTCCCCTCTCCCCTACGAGCCCCAAGTGCCCCCCCGCCCCGCACCCGGCAGCAGTACCTGGGTGTCGGCAGGGGGCTCGTCGGTGCTGGCGCGGCTGCTGTTGAGGTATCTGAGCTTGTCTTTCTTGTCGATGGTGTAGAAGCCCTCGCTGCGGGCACAGCCCGTCACGTGCTCACGGATGCCATCGTCCCGTTTCTTTTTCTTAGCTGAAGAGAGGCTGGTGGGTGGGTGTGGGTCAAGGGCCACATGGACATTCTCAGAGAACTTCTCCCGGCCCCTCGCGATGCCTGTCCCCCCGCCCCGCCCCCAGCCTTGGATCAGCATCCGGGGATGAGACCAGCTGTACCCATCACCTCTACACCTTCCTCATGTGGCCGCTGGAGCCGGCTGAGACTGGAGTCAGGACTTAGCTGTACAGCCTTAGGGATTGTGTTCTTTTGCCACTACATGCCTCAGTTTCCCTTCTCTGAAATGAGGTGACAATGAGGCCTGAGGGACTAAACATGCTTAGGGCACCCAGTACACGTCCTGGCAGGGGAAGGGCTTGATAAGCTAGTGTCCCACAACAGGGACAACAGCGCCAGCCCCGGGCCACACTGGCCACCAGCACAGCTCTGGTGAGGAGCAGATTCTAGGGCCAGATTTGTCTGGGCTCAAACCTCAGCTCTGCCACTTTGCAGTGGCGTGGCTTTAGGCAGGACACTTAACCTCCCTGAACCTGTTTCTTCACATGTAAAACAGGAGAAATAATACCCCTACCTCATTAGACTACTGGGAGGATCCAATCAGGGGACGAGGGGACGAGGGCTGGGCATTTGGTGCAGTAGCTGACACTGCTTGGACCCACATCCTGTATCAGGGCGCCTGGGTTCCAGTCCTGGCTCCCCTCCTGCCAGAGGCAGCAGTGATGGCTCAAGAGGTTGGGTCCCTGCCATTCACATGGAAGACAGAATTGAGTTTCCAGCTCCAGGTTTTGGTCTGGACCAGCTCTGGCTATTGCTGGCATTTAGGGAGTAACCACTAGACAGGAGACCTCTGCCTCTCTCTGCTTGTCTACAAAACAAAGCAAAACAGGGGCCAACATTGGGGTATTATGGGTAAATCCACCGCCTGCAATGCTGGCATCCCATACGTTTGCCAGTTCATGTCTCGGCCGGTCCATTTCCTATCCAATTCCCTGCTATGGCCTGGGAAAGCAGTGGACGATGGCCCAAGTCCTTGGGCCCCTGCACTTACATGGGGGACTGGGAAGAACTCCTGGCTCCCGGTTTCACGCCGGCCCAGCTCTGGCCATTGCAACCATTTGGGGACTGAACCAGTGGCTAGAAGCTCTCTCACTCTCTCTCTCCCCCCATTTGTAACTCTACTTCTCAAATAAATAAATCTTTAAAACCAAAACAAAGATGCTGGCGTTGTAGCACGACAGGTTAAGCTGCTGCCTGCAAAGCTGGTACCCCCCACTGGAACACACGTTCAAGCCCTGGCTGATCAGCTGTGCTATCCAGCTCCTTGCTAACATGCCTGGGAGGGCAGTGGAAGAGTCCACGTGCTAGGGACCCCGTTACCCATGTGGGAGACATGGATGGAGTTACAGCCTCCTGACTCTGGCCTGGCCCAGTCCCGGCCACTGGGGCTATTTGGGGAGTAGATCAGAGGATGGTTCTGTCTTGTCTTCTCTCCATCACACTTTCAAATTAAATAAATAAATCCTTTTTCTTGGGCCAGAACATGTGTGCACTCATCCTGCCCTGTGGTTATGTCACATAATCCCACTGTTATGTTCAGGCCTGGGACCTGCCACCCCTGGGGTGAGAGGGTTTGGCACAGAGGGACTGGTTAAAAGTGATTCAGGGGTTAGCACTGAGGCACAGCAGGTAAAGCCACCGCCTGCAGTGCCGGCATCCCATGTGGGCTCTGCTTCTGATCCAGCTCTCTGCTGTGGCCCGGGAAGACAGTGGAGGATGGGCCAGGTCCTTGGGCTCCTGCACCCTCATGGGGGACCTAGAGGAAGCCCTTGGTTCTTAGATTCAGATCGGCTCAGCTCTAGCCATTGCAGCCATTTAGGGAGTAAACCAGCAGATGGAAAACCTCTCTCTGCCTATGCCTCTCTGTAAATCTGCCTTTCAAATAAATAAATACATATTTATAAAAAAATAGATAAATAAAAGTGATTCAGCTCAGAGCCTGCACTGTGCCCTACACACACTTGGGTAGGTGACTTGGAAGCTAGACAGGGACATCGGGCCCAGGGGGCTGTGTTCTGCACGCCAGCGGCATGGACCACAACGTCCAGCAGGATATAGGGGTGGTAAACCCAGAGTGTGTCATTGAGCCAGTCCATGCCGCTGTCCTGCTGTAGCAGCCGCTCGTAGGTGACACACAGGAAGCGGATGTCCTCTTCGTCGATGCCACCGTTCCAGATGTCATATAGGATGGTCATCTCCTCAAACTCGGAGCGAGGCCGGAAGAGGGGCTGGGGTGGCGAGAGCTCGGGTGAGGCGGACGCAGCCACCAGGTCTTCGTGGCGCTTCTTGGGAGGCCGGCGCCATGGCCCCCGGGCCTTGGCCAGCTCCATGTACTCCTCGGGAACCTCGTCGCGCCCACGGGGACCTGGCGGGATGGCCTCGGAGGGCCACTGGTTGTCTAGCTCCTTGAAGGGCAGCTTGGTGGGCTCAATGGGTGGTGGAGGCGGGGGTGGGGGAGGTTGGGGCGGGAGGGGCGGGGGTGGGGCCGGGATCCCCGTGTTCCGGAAGTCCAAGGTCACAGCCCGGGGGTCGTGGGTGCTGGGGAAGACAGGGGTCTGTGGCTGGCCTGGCAGGAGCAAGAGGTCCCTTCCCAGGGTGGGCCCTGCTGGTGGCCGGACCAAGGGCCCGTCCAAGGACAGCATGGACGGTGGGGACCGCCGGGGCCGGCCCGGCTTCCTTTTCATGGGGGAAGGGCAAGGAGCCAGGGGAGCAGGCAGCAGGGGTGGCAACTGGGCTGGAGCCCGAGCCTGGGCCCGCAGGACAGGCACAGGCAATGCCAGGGGCAGGGGCAGGGGCAGGGGCAGAGGGAGGGGTAGGCCTGTATCCAGGATCACCGGGGAGGCCAGGGGGCCAGAGCGTTCATCGCGCCGGCCAGTTGGGAGCGGGCAGACTGGCAGGAGCAAGGGCCCGCCGGGCTCAGGGAAGGTGGGTGTGAAGCTGAAGTCCCGGCCAGGTGTCCGTGGGAGGCTCCCGCTGCCCAAGCTCGGCGACTGGGATGGGTAAGAGAAGGGGCTGCCGGGCACCTGCGGGGAGCTCAGGGACAGGCCGCTGCTGCCCCCTGACAGCGGGGGCTCCCCGCCTGGTGTGGCCGGCACTGTCTCTGTGCTCTGTGACTTGGCCAGGCTGCCACAGAGGCCTGGAGTACGCGGGGGCTGGTCCTCGGGCAGAGGCTCCAAGGGGGCGGGTGGGTGTGGAGGGTCTGGGGTCTCAGGCTCCGGTGGTGGACTGGGTGGCCGGGGTGGCCAGGGGGGTGGCAACGGTGGCTGCAGAGGCAAGGAGAGCGCTGGAGAGGGTGCAGGCTCCACTTCCAGGTTCTCCTCTGCAGAAGGAAGGGCGGAGAGCAGACCATGACTCTGATTCAAACATCTCTCCAGGGCCGACTGTGGCTGCCCCACTATGTGCTTGCCAGCTGCCCAGCTCACAGCCCCTGAGCCCACCGGGGTCTGCGAGCACAGGGGCTGCCTTCCAGCTAAGCCGCTCAAGGACTGCTCAGCACCCAGCCCGGCGCGCACAGTAGGTGCTTCTGCGTGCTGCTGCACATCAAAGGTGCAGGAGACATGGCTGCTAGCCTTTCACACCGGCTGTCCTCACCGTGATGCTTCTGTGGTCCGAGATAATTTGCTTTGAGATGGGCAGAGAACTCACTGTCTTTTTCCCCGTAGCACTTGCCAGGGCCGTTGATGTCTTGCCCCCAGTATTTACCTGCCTTGCCGATAGAACACATTCTAACTTTTTCTGTCACCTCTCATCCTACCCACAATGTGTGCTCCACGGGGCAGACATTTCTGTTTGGTCCACTGTTGTATGGTGAGTGCCTAAAACACGACTGGGGGCCAACACAGCCTTGGTATCAAATTCCTATTCAAAGACCTGCAGTGTAGCCCACAGCTAAATAGACAAAACACCTTACTGTCTTCTCTCCCATGGGATTTACTCTAGGTAGGTGCTAACCGCAACTAAGTAGCGATATCCAGAGGCCTGGTCAGGGGTGCTGGCTACATGTCCTGCTCAGCGGCAACACAGTAGCCAGCAGCTCCTGCATGGCAAAGCCCTCCTGGGCAGCACCTGCAGCTCCACCCAGGATGCCTCGCCCATGCCTCCGCTCTCCTGCCCACCATGCCTATGTCCCTTCTTTCAGGAACATCTCATGGGGCCAAGGGTCCCAGGTCTACACCGGGAAATCCTGGCCTGAGGAACACACCAGCAATGAAAGCTGCACTCGCAAAGGCTACAGGGCTTACCTGGCGGGAGCTCGGGGGACGACGGCGGCCGGGCCTCTGTCTCCACCGCCTGGGGCTCTGGAGACAGTACCATGGGCCCTTCCTGGTTCAGCCCCGGCTCCTCCGGGGGCTCCTTGCAGTCCGTCAGCTCCTCTGTGCCCACAGGCAAGAGGGGCTCCTCCGGCGTGGGGGCGGGCTCCTCGGGGGCTTCATCGTCCGCCTCAATGTCCACCTCCTCTTCTGTGCCCAGCGATTCCACGGCGGGAGCCCCCGGGGCCAGAGATTCCTCCTCGCCAGCCTCCTCAAAGCTGTCAGCACCTGGGGGAGCCAAGCTCTCCTCTGGCCCTGCCGCCTCCTCCGCCTCCGCCTCCTCCGCCTCCGCCTCTTCCTCCTCCTCCGCCTCCTCCTCTTCTTCATCTTCTGAGGATGAGGATGAAGACTCGGAGCTTGACTCAAACTCAGAAGACCCGGAGCTCTCACTGGAGGACTCAGCCTCGGCCTTGGACGTGGCGACGCTCACGGTCTCCTCTGGATGGGGACACAGAGGCGGAGCCGTGACTGCCGGGCCCTGACCCCACGCTCCCCAAATCCTCGAACCAGGGACGCCTGGACGGAGCACATCCTGAGAGGCGTGTGTGAGGTCAACTCAGACAGCAAACTAATGGCTCTTTCTCACCCGTGTCCGGGTCCAGCGTGGTCCCCGAGGTTCGGTAGGAACCCACCGTCCCCTTAGCTGGCCCTGCGACCCTCCAGCCTGAGCCACCTACACACTCCGGATAGTTCACAGGAGTGCAGCCATCAGTAGCTTGTGTGTTTTAACAAGGTGGCAGGACCAGCTTTGCCCACACGGGATTTCTGACCGTGGCACTGGCTCTGCCCCTGCACAGCGGCCCCTGGCGCCTGGGCCCCGCTCACCTCCATCAGAGTCCCCTGCGTCCTTCTCGCTGGCTTCCGACAGGGCTGTGTCCTCATCGTCATTCTCAGACTCATCCCGGTCCTCACTGTCATCGTCGTCCTGGGCGATGGGGCAGGGTGGGGAGTCGTGAGCCCGGGGCCAGCTCCCCTGCCCTGGCCCAACCCCCGGCCTCGTGGCCAAGTCGTACCTTGTCTGACGTGGATGAGGTTGAGGAAGAAGAAATCTGGCTCCTGGGGCCGCCTTCCTCCTCCTCCTCCTCTTCCTCCTCCTCCTCCGCTTCTGCTTCCTCCTCCTCCTCCTCCTCCTCCTCGGTGCTGTCCCGCTGCTCCTCCTTGTCAGAGGCCGAGGACGAGGGTGAGGTGGTCGAGGACCCCGAGGAGGAGGATGCCGACGAGGACGAAGACACCGACAAGGACTCCTTCTCGTCCTCCTCCCCGCCACTGTCCAGCTCCAGTGGCCGCGCCGGCCGCCGCCGCACACCCACGCCCTTGGGGTCCCGCTTGGTGAGCTCGCATGGGGCGTCGGCCATGTCCCGGTCTCGCTCCCGCTCAGATTCTGTGGGGAAAGGAACATCAGGACTGGGCTGGGGGCAGGGGCCCCGGCGCCCCGCAGGATGGGGCGGGACACGCACCTTCGTCCTCCTCATCCACAGAGGTCGAAGGCCGGAGCCGCTTCTGGTCCCCAGACGAGGCTGCCTCTGGAGGCTCCTTCCTTTTGACCTTGAAGGAGGGCAGGCGGATGGCCCCGCGCAGTCCAATGCCCAGGCCCAGGCCCTCACAGCCCAGGCCCTCGCCCTTGCCCCACGACTCCAGCAGGCACGAGGCCACTCGGTCCCTGGGCTTCCGCCGGTCTTCGTCCTTGTGCTCGCCCGACTTCACAGGGGTCAGTGAGGCCTGTGAGAGAGGGGGACAGTCACCAGGGTCACAGTGCCACCGCCAAGCCTTCCAGAGGTCCTCCCTGAGCAGCACCGGGAGCCACAGGGGACCGCATACACCTGGCCCGCGCCTTGTGCCCTGGCCCAGGAGCTCTGCTTGGTCTCACAGACCCTCTATTTCCTCACCTGCAAAATGGGGCCACTAAAGTCACCCCACTTAGGAGACTGGAATCCACAAGAACTACACTGTGAGTCCACATGGGCACTGCCGGAACACCAGTGTCACGGAATTCACACGGATGCTTCCTAGTCTCTGACTCTATCCTACTCCGGTCCAACGCACAGGAAATGGGCATCTCTGAGCCTTTGCGGGGCACTGTGGGCGGGCGCCGGAGCAGCCGTAGGATGAGCTCTGCCCCTCAAGCCCTCCAGCTCCTCTTCCCCGGGTGCCTGACAGAGCAGCTGCTAGTTAGCGACTGCCGTTTCTGGTCCAGGAGGGTGGCAGGACCGGGCTGAGTGACAGGCATGTGTCAGCAGTGTCAGACCGTTCATTCTGATGTTACCGGCCTGCTACACGGACGACACACAGGCTCTGACAGGTGCCGATTACCTGGGCTGCATTTCCCAAAGCAAAACTGATAACCATGGCCACCTCTAGATAGAGGGACACAGGCGACTGGGGGCAGCTCTGTGGCACAGCAGGTTAAACTGCTGCCTGTGACACAGGCATCCCATATGCCACCTATTGAGTCCCGGCTGCTCCACTTCCTATCCGGCTCCCTACTAATATGCCTGGGAAGGCAGAAGATGGCCCAAGTGCTTGGGCCCCCGCACCCACAAAGGGGAAGGGTGGGCCGCACCGCAGAGACAGCCAGGCCAGGGTCCCTCTGGGTGGGCGTGGCTGCCGCCCGGCGCTCCCCTCGAGCTCCCGGCAGGGGGCGCTGTGAACCCACCTTGGCCAGGCGCTCCTTCTTGCCCCACCACTCGTCGAAGGCCCGGAAGGCCACGACCTCCACCATCTTGCGGTTCAGGTCTCGCTTCATGATGGCCTTGAGCTCCTTGAGCACCACGAGCAGCACGCCGTCCACCGTGGCCTTGTGCGGGTCCTCCTGGCGCGGCACGTAGCCGGGCGGCGGCACGGACGGGTCAAACTTGGGCAGCGGCGGCCAGGGCTGGCCGCGGCCGGGGCCCGCGCCACCCAGCGCGAATGGGCCGCGGTAGGGCGGCAGGTTCACGAACTGCAGGCCGGCTGAGGCGGCGGCGGCGGCGGCCGCCATGAAGGGCGGGTAGGGGCAGGCGCCCTGGCCGGTCATCAGGCGGCTCAGCATCTGCGTCTGCATCTGGAAAGACATGGGCATGCCGCCCCACTGGCCGCCCAGCACGTGGCTCATGTCCACCTGCACCACCGGGAACAGCGCCGGCGGGAAGGGCGGCAGCGGCGGCAGGATGGGCGGCGGCGGCACCCCCGGCGGCGCGGGCAGCGGGGGCGGCGGCACGGGCACGGTCACCGCCGGGTGCGTCTGGGGCGGTGGTGGCTGCTGCGTCCGCAGGGGATTCAGCATGGGGAAGCCTGGCTGAGGGGTGCAGAGGACGGGGACTGCGTTTGTCGTATCTGCCGGTAAGTCAGTAGGCGTGGGCAGCTACATGTTCTCTGACTTC